TTTTTGCCTCATAAAATGATTTAGGTAATAGTATACTTTCGGAAAATGCAATAGTTAATAACTCCAATAACATAGTAAAAGATTTCTCATTCCACCTATTCAAACTTTTTAAATGGTACAAATGTAATATAAAAGCTAGCCTAAAAAATGACTTACATCCATGATATAACTCTTCATTGATATTTTTTAATAAATCATTAAACATATTTGACTCTTGGGTGGATCTGTTCATTATCTTGTTCTACATCAAACCTTTGATATTGCCCATTTATCTCATTATTTATTGGCTCATCATGAGTTTTATCGCATTCATATTCACTTATTCTATCTATATTCATGGTCATTTCATTATCACATTGACCAATTACACCAAAAGCATCACGTAACAACCCCACCATATCATTTGATTGTTGTGGATTCACATCAATAGAAGTTGGTTTATGGGTAGAACTCAATCCTTATTGATGTGAGGTAGGAATATAAGAAGATGGCCTAATGTTACTAAAAGAAGAACTCTCTCCATGAAAAACCCACCAAGTATACCTCCTTAAAAACCCATCACAAATTAAGTGAACTCTAACATCTTCATATGTTTGTAAAGAAGAATTACCACATTGAATGCAAGGAAAAAAAATTCTTTCACTATAAGATGTATTACAAAATGCTAATTTAAGAAATTCCTCAACTCTTTTTTTATATTCAATACTAGTTCTAGTCTTGTTCATCCAATTTCTATTCATTTCATAAATATTGTAGAATCCCTAAAAAAATGCTATAAATTTTTTCAATTAAAAAAAAGCGACACAAAACTAGTTATGACATAAAGTACTTATCAACACATTTAGCACTCAACACTTTTGTAATCTCAAATATCAATAACCATTTGATTGCAAACAATCCTAGCTCCTTTGAAGCACAAAAACAAGTTAGATGCAATAAGTTTATTGTCTTAGTTTTAATAAAAAATTTACCTTGAAGTAGTCACCTAAATTAGCCACCAAATATGCTTCGATCAACTCGGTTGAACCACTATAAAAAATACTGAAAAAATCAGTTTTATTAGTTAGAAGAAAAAAATAAACTTATCCATTATATAATAAAAGAAAGAAAGATGTAATTGTACTCACCACACAAGCCTTTAAAAGTTAATCTTTTGTAATGTTTCCACTGTTCTCTACATTCAATTCCAATCTACAAATAAAAAAAAAATTACCAATCGAGAAATAGAATACTAAAAGAAGAAACAAGTATAAAAAAACATAGATAACGAAACATCCGAATTCATGAAAAATTTAAAAACTCCCCACATGAAATGTTGAAATTCCTTTGAATCAATACCCATTTTTATCCCTAAAACAATCTACAAAGAATCAAAGAGATTGAATTTGAAACCAAATATTAGAATGCGTATTTCACGAGTCGCCTTGAACCAATGGCGAGTTTTAGAGTTTCGAGTAACAAAACTAACATGGGATATACTACTTATTAACATATTAACATTTCGGGTATAGTGGGAAGAGGTTTTCTTACTACATCAATCGAAAGTTTGAGACACCAATGGCTACGGAACAAAATGAAGGATTTAAGTCAATCTTCGATCCCGATAAAAATTCTCACCCCGAGTTATAGATTGAAACTATTATGGAACAACATGGCTATTAAATAAGATTTGACCATATGAATCTTCTAAAGCATTTTATGGAATTGAACTAGACAAGAAATACTTTATGTAGGTTCCTCTCGTGATCTTGTATCATTTTGTCAAGGCAAAAGCACTAGTCATTGTCAAGCTAAATAGTCTTCATTAACTTGATTGTGCAACGTCAAAATTGAACTATAACAATGTCAACTGAATAGATAACCTAGCATTTTCCTACATAACAAGAAGGAAGCGTATGTAATCAATAGCTTCAAATTATTACGGGAAACCATGATCCATTTTTTTTATTTGCCTTTTTAAGCTTTTAAACCATGTGTTTAATTAAGATCAACTAAGACCTTATAAAGGGAAGATATTGTTTTATCATGAATTAGATATCACTCGGCATCCAATCGTAGAATAGTTCACTTGCATCTTTGTGATGTTAGCGAATATAAAAGATCGATTCGATATTCTTTCATGAAATCTCAACGAGTATATCTTAAGAGTTTTAACCATTTTTTTTTTTTTGCCTATTTGTCAATATGCCCGACTACTAATCTACATATCCTTCGAGCCCAATAGCTTGGACTTTAATATCAAGAAGAATAACAATATTAAAAGAAGATTAGATAAAAAAAAAAAAAGAGGAGTCTTGACAAATCTTAAGAGGCGACATCTTGCAAACGCAAGTGTTTCTATGCTATTTATTTAGCGGAGTCGAATACTCTATTCTTACCTTTTTCTTTAGTTTCTCCAATAAACTATGGTCGGTTTAGGTGATCCTCCACTATGGAACTTCACTTCAACTTCCTTTCAACTTTTAAAAATTCTTTTGCGGATCGGAATAAAAGTTAGGGATGATTAATTAAATAAGAAGAGATTTCAAGAAACTCGTATGTCCACAAAAGGCCAAGCTAAACTTGTAGGTTATCATATATATGGCGACCTCCTATTTTGTTCCTTTCTAAATCCTCTATATAGATGGGCTACATATTGGTCATTGTGCATAATGTATTGCCATGATCTAAAAATTAAATTGGTCACTCGCGCATCATGCTTGCAGATAGATTTAGGCATCCCTTCATTAATTATCTATTAAGACTCGGTCGTTACTATAAACGAGAATAGATACTTAAATACTAGAGCGGATTGCAAGAAATCACACATCACATGACATACTCCTATTTATGTAGAAAACTATTTCTCAAAAAATAAGAAATTCACTACAATGGTAGCTACGAATTTGGTTCACCAAAATTATGTTACAAACCATCTCAACCTAAAGGACAACTTCATAACTTGTTTCGGTTGCTTTGTACAACCGACTCTCGTATGTTTACTAAAAAAGATGTCCTAATGTAGACCTTAATGCTGATGCATCTTCATAGAATCATTGCCAACCTCAACATTGGATAAACGTGATGCAACATTCTCCGGGACATCTTTCTACAAGTCGACTTGATACGTATGTTTCGACTAACAACTAGATTATGCGGCCATGACACAACAAGTCGGATAGGAATTCCATACTTCAAAGTTACAAAATAAGAACAAGACAATTACCATATTAGATCGAAAATTAAAAGGTAATTAGAAAAGAAAAGAGCACGTAATCTAATTGATTGGCCACAAAATTAATTAAGCATACTTACCTTTACGAGAGATCAATGAGAAATTCCACGATGAGTGTCCGATTGATTTGGAGAGACGAAAGAAGCGAGAGGAGAAGAAAAACCCTAAGAGGAGTGGGATAATGCGGCGTTTGTATCCCTTTCACAAAAAAAAAAAAAATTGAAAATAAGAAAGAACAAGAAGAGCGAGAACACGCAAGAGGCACGGGAGAAGAAGATTTGGTGAAGAAGGATAACTCTCGAGTAACGGAGCAAAAGACGCGAAAGTAAAGGAAAAGAAGGAAAACTTATATATGATCTTATCCCTTTCAAAACCAAAAGAAATTTAAAATAAAGAATCAAAGGAGAAGAAGAAAGCAACAAATCGAGAGCATAAGCAAAGAAAGAGAAGTCGAGAAACCTTAAAGAGAGGGAAAATGAAACGCCACTTCTCCCCTTTCGAAACAAATTAAAAAAAAAAAATATTACGAAATAAAAATCTCGCCTCTTACGATCTAAAACCGCCCCAATTTTTTCCTCTAAAAATCTCGCCTCGAGTACAAATGTTAAAAGGCTTTGAGGCGGTTTTGTAAACCGCCTCAAGAATTCGCCTCTATATCCGCTTTTTGTTATAGTGCTATCTCGTCTACTATTTTGCTTTGGTCTAAACACGTTGTCGTATCATCTAAGATATATATATATATATATATATATATATATATATATATATATAACATAATCTCTTTAAATGTTGTTTTATATATCTAGTAGTATTGTTGTCTTCATGTTTTTTTATGTACCTATTTTTTTTTCCTTTTTGGAGTAAATTGCCTAACGCCTTAATTCATTAACGCCTTAATTCATTAAGTTACTACATGTAAAATTGATTCAAAGAACAAAAGAAAACAAAGATTTTTGTACCGACAGTTACATTTCATTTAATTTTATACTAGTTTTTTATTTATTGTTTTAATATTATTTTTTTACTCTCAAATTCATTTTAGTCGGATTTTCATCGGATAAAATTGATATATATTTTTTTGTACTATCTAGGTCATTTTAGCTTCTTCTTTTTTTTATTAACATGTGATTAATTATATAATGACGCATAATTAAAACATAAATAAAAAATTAGTTCGTTCTATTGTCGTTTTGTATGGTGATTGAATTAAAAAAAAAAAATTAAAATAAACAATATTAGAGGGAACAAAACAGCAAAGAATTTCACGTGATTTTTATTTGACTGTAAGTCAAGGTTTCCGTCAAACTATCTACAAAGCTGACCTATATCCACCATGACTGCCACCTTCGTCTTCTTCGTCCTCTGTCCTCCTCCACCAGATGAAACTAAGTATACTCCGTGGCAAAAATCCCTGCAAGAACAAGACGCTGATCACCAGCATTAATTATTTTTGTTGCAGATTTCTTGAGAAGTTTAAGAGCCTTGCTTTTTCTTGAAGCCCTCTCCTAGAACAACCTCACTTGGAGGTCGTCGACCTCCGTTGGAATCCTCAAGAGCCAAGCCCTACAGCTTCTTCGTTCAACACAAACACTCACCACAACAACAAGGCGCTACCGCCAGCAAACCCAAGTAGCAACGAATCTCAAGCTGCAGCTGCCCACAAATCCAACTACCACCGCCCATAGCCACCCACAAAGCCAACCATAAATAGATCTAAAACCACCGCCACTCCCAAACCCAACTATCGCCACTTTGTACGAAGGCAAAGGCAGAAAAGAACCAAGCAATGGAGCATTCAATGAGTGAGAACTCTTGTCAATTGTGTGCGGTTGGAAAGCTTACCTTTGAACCCCCACCAATATACTGTACGCCCTGTGTTGCTCGCATTAAGCGGAATGCAATGTATTATACCGTGGGAGCTGGTGATACACGGCACTATTTCTGTATTCCATGCTATAATGAGGCTCGTGGGGACACTATTGTTGCTGATAGGACTCCTATTCCAAAGACAAGACTCGAGAAGAAGAAAAACGACGAGGAGACCGAAGAATGGGTGCGTTTATCTGTTGTACATGTTGTATCTGTTCTTCTGCTACACGGCAGTCTCAAATAATTTAGCTTACAGTTTACTCTTTGATTCTTGTGCAGTGGGTTCAATGTGACAAGTGTGAAGCTTGGCAACACCAAATTTGTGCATTATTTAACGGTAGGAGGAATGATGGTGGGGAAGCTGAGTATACTTGCCGAAATTGCTACATAACAGAGGTTGAAAGAGGAAAGCGCAAGACCTTACCACAAAGTGCGGCTCTGGGGGCTAAAGATCTGCCTAGAACAATACTCAGTGATCATATAGAGCAGAGGTTGTCTAGGAAACTGACGCAGGAAAGACAGGAGAGGGCCAGGGTGCAGGGGAAAAGTTTTGATGATGTGAGTTACATGTCACGCTGTGGCCTGTGTTGTTTCTTCTAGTAGTTGATTTTTAAAATCCACAGAGTTTATTTTATACGCTAATAATCATGGAAATATGCTTGCAGTGCATGAAAAAAAAAAATAAATAAAAAATGCTTGCAGTGCTGTTATATTGAAAGAACTTGAACTCGAATAGGTGTATGATCATGAAATTGACATGGTTTAGGCTTCGTTTCTGATTAAAAAAAAAAAAAAAAGAGCATGTAAGATTGTTACACCAAGAGTAGTAGAACGAAGAGAATCTTGATTTTGGTGCTTGTATTTCATCAAATTTCTATTTGAGTTCCTATGCTTTAATTATTTTTTCTATATGCGTTCCTATAATGGACATTGATTCCTGCACTCTTAAAAAATGACCTATCAAGTTTTGTTCTGAGAATATCCTTTTTGAAGAGTATTTAGACACTGCCACATCAAATGAGTTTTTGGAATAAATTTACTGGATTGATCAAACTTTTAAGAATATAGGAACTTAACATAGAAAAAGTTGAAGTATAAGAATTCTAATAAATTTTTTAACAAAGCTGCTGTCATTATTAAGTTGTAAGTACAATTAGTTGGCAGAATACCATTTAGTTGTTTCAATGGGTGTGCTGTCTCTGATCCTGTTGTAAGTACATTTAGTTGCCAGAAATTCTTGCTCTTCATTTGAAACTTCATCTCCAGATATTTTAGATGATTGATCCCCACAACAGTACATTTTCGGCAGTTAAATAATTCAACCCTCTGGTAAACTTCTACTTTTGTTTCTTTGAGGACTATGAGTTTGTCCTAGGTGCATGAAAATTAGACCATCAATGCGTGGTAATTGGCACAATCTAACTTCCTTTACCCATCTGTATCTTAGGTTCCAGGAGCAGAATCACTTGTAGTTCGAGTTGTTTCATCAGTTGACAAAAAGTTGGAAGTGAAGCAGCGTTTTCTTGAGATATTTCGGGAGGAGAATTATCCAACTGAATTCCCATATAAGTCTAAGGTTTGCAGGATACCATGTTCGATTTATATACATGCAAACATCAGCTACAGACAAGAACTGGGTGCTAGTATTCCAGAAATTATTCACAGGAAATTTTTGTTTCAGGTCGTTTTACTGTTTCAGAAGATTGAAGGTGCTGAGGTATGTCTATTTGGCATGTATGTTCAAGAATTCGGATCAGAAGCTCACTTTCCAAATCAGCGTTGTGTCTATCTTTCTTATCTGGATTCTGTGAAGTACTTCAGACCTGACATTAAAGCAGTGACTGGAGAGGCTCTCCATACATTTGTTTACCATGAAATTTTGGTTAGTTTCAATTACGTATTTATCTTCTTTTCAAATGATCCGAGGATATAAACAATTCATTTGGTTAGGAATTGTAATTGGAGTTTTTAGCCATCATACCTGTTCTATTCTACAGACTGGATACCTTGAACACTGCAAGAAAAGGGGTTTTACAAGCTGCTATATATGGGCTTGCCCTCCATTAAAGGGTGAGGAGAATATATTGTATTGCCATCCAGAAATCCAGGAAATGCCAAAATCTGACAAACACGGGGAATGGTGAGCAAAATGACTTCTAAAGAGAGACTCCTTAGGTTGTTTTACTGTTTTTCTCTCGTGACTTTTTAGGGTGCGTCACTGAATGTCTATTTCTTTCCAGGTATTTAGCGATGTTACGAAAAGCTGCCAAGGAAAATGTTGTTGTTGACTTCACTAATTTGTATGACCATTTCTTCATATCTAGTGGTGAATCCAAGGAAAAGGTCACAGCAGCTAGACTGCCCTACTTTGAAGGGGATTATTGGCCGGGTGCTGCCGAGGATTTAATCTGTCAACTTATTCAAGAAGAAGATGGGAGAAAACAAAATAAGAAGGTATCTACCGAAAAGACCATTACAAAAAGGGCTCTAAAAGCATCTGGCCAGGCAGATCTTTCTGGTAACGCATCGAAGGATCTGCTACTGATGTATAAAGTAATTCCTATCTCCTATTTCTTACAGCTGAATATCATTTGCCAATCAAATGCTGTTTGTCATAATGTTATTGTATGTGGTTCTGCGCAATTCTACTGCTACCAGACCCTTGGAGCTTGTTGTGGTGTCCTTATATTAAGCAATTTATAATTGATTTTCCTCTCCAGCTTGGTGAGACAATTTGCCCTATGAAGGAGGACTTTATCATGGTTCACTTGCAGCATTGCTGTTCGCATTGTTGTATTCTAATGGTAAAGGGCATCCGTTGGGTTTGCAACCGGTGCAAAGACTTTCAAATTTGTGATAAGTAAGAATCTGCAATCTTTACCTGCATTACTGTCTGGTGAAATTTTTACGTAAAATTTTTCATGAACTATTGTAACTGTGAATATTTAGGTTTTGAATGACCTAATTTTATTATATCAGATTATATGTTTATATACAAAAAAAGAGTCCTAAAAATTAGGACTTCTTTCCTACTTTAAGGAGAAAATCTTGCCTAATCTATTCTAAATACGAAACAAATATAAAGCTAATTACACGCTGATTTACAGCCTAATTCATAGCTAATTTATAGCAAAGAATCCCAACACTCCCCCTAAGTTGGGTTGCAAATATTTATCATAACCAGCTTGCAACTAAGATCTTCAAAATGCACCTTTGGAAGTGCTTTAGTTAGGATATCAACGGTTTATAGATTAGAAGGAATGTAAGAGACTTGATTACTCCTCCTTCTATCTTTTCTCCGATAAAAGGTCGATCTATTTTCACATGCTTGGTTCGGTCATGATGAACTGGATTTTTAGTAATACTGATGGCAGATTGACTATTACAAAGTAGTTGTATTGATGTATTAGAAGGTATCTTCAATTTTGCTAATACTCTTTTCACTTACATTCCTTCACAAATACCATGAGCCATTGCTTGAAATTCTGATTCAGTACTACTCCTAGCTATCACAACTTGCATTTTACTCTTCTATGTTGTCAAATTTCCCCAAACGTAGATACAATATCCAGAAGTGGATTGTTTATTTGTGATTGAGCCTACCTAGTCTGCATCAAAGTACAATTCCACATTCCTACTTGAGTTCTTTCTAAATAATAGTCCCTTATCCGGAGTCATTTTCAAGTAACTTAAGATTTTATACATCGTAATCATGTGTTCTTCGAGTAGGGTTGTTCATGAATCGACTAATAACACTTATTGAGAATGCTATGTTTGGCCTAGTATGTGATAGATAGATCAACTTCCCTACGAGTCTTTGATATCTTCCCTTATCTATAGGAACATTGTCCTTATCGGACCCAAGTTTGGTAGTGTAATCCATAGGTGTCTTTGTAGATTTATACCCAAGCATACCTGTTTCTTTTAGAAGATCTAGTACGTACTTCCTTTGAGAGACTGCAATGCCTTGCTTAGATCTAGCTGCTTCCATTCCTAAAAAGTATGTGAGTTTACCTAGGTCCTTGATCTCAAATTCTCTATTTAGAAATTCTTTAACTCTTGAAATCTCCTTAGCATAATCCTCTGTTAAAACAATGTTATCAACATAGAAATCGAGTCCTTCCGAAGAATGTTTTACAAACATTATATGATCAGATTGTTCCTGTATATATCCATGACTCTTCATAACTCTAGTAAATCTCTCAAACCAAGTTCTAAGTGATTGTTTGAACCATAAAGTGACTTCTTTAATCGACTCACTTTGTTAATATTTGATGAGTTCTATAGTCTTTGGGGAATGCGAATATAAACCTCCTCTTCTAGATTCTCATTCAAGAATGCATTCTTGACATCTAGTTGATGAAGTGGCCAATCCAAATTTGCTACAAGAGAGAGGAGTATTCAAATAGTTTTGAGTTTTGCTATCGGAGCAATGGTCTCCTCATAATCTATGCCATAGGATTGAGTAAATCCCTTAGCTACCAACCGGGCTTTGTATCTTTCGATACTACCATCTTAAATTGAAGATCCACTTGCACCCAATCACATTCTTTCTATCGGGCAAATCAATAATCTCCCAAGCACCATTCTTCACTAGAGCATTAACTTCTTCATTGATTGCCTTCTTCCATTCTAGGATAGCTATGGCCTCTTACATTGAGTTCGGAGTGGATATGGGATTAATTTTACTAGTGAATGCTGGGTAAGATGAAGATAGTCCATCATAGTTCACATAATTCCCAATAGAATACAATGGCCTAATTCAGCATCCTCTCACCTCTTACCCGAGTGCAATGGGTAAATTCTCGTCAGAATTATCAAGATCACTTGAAGTAGAACCTACTGAATTTTCCTTCATAATTTGTCAATCAAATGTAAGGATATTTACCTCATGTTTAGATGCCGGCAATAGCTATAAATCTGCTAGAGTCTCTATTTCCTTCGGCATTTGGCTTTTTTTGTGATAGACAATTATCTTGGGAGATGTAGAATCCATTGGTTGTGGTTGAAGTTCCAGTTGGACTCTTGGAGATGGGGTAGAAGCACTTTCCGGTGCATAAGGCGCATTTGTAGTTTCGAGTGTTTTTGATGTGCAATCTATGCTCTTCAAGAAAAAAGTGATATTCTTGTGGTTGAATCCGACTAGAATTCTCCCCATGAATATCGGTTTTGGGGGAATAGGGTTTTGTTTCAAAAAATGTGGCATTCATGGTGAGATAAAAATTTTGGTTGTTAGGAGAAAAGCATTTGTAACCATTTTAGTTGGGAGAATACCCTACATACAAAGATACATTTGGTGGATTGAGAGTCGGACTTGGTTCGATGTTGTTGATGGATATGCACAAACACATTACACCCAAATATTTTTGGAGGAAGAGTAGAAATTAGACGAACTTTGAGAAAAGTGTTGTAAAAATACTTTATTTGAAGTGGAAAATCTAGTACTTTTTATGGAAGTTGATTGATAGGTATGCTGGTGTAAGTATAGCCTCACTCCAAAAATGTTTTAGAACATTGGATGAAAACAAAAGAGACTTGGTAATGTCCGGAAGGTGTTTATACTTTCTCTCGGCTATCCTATTTTGTTGAGGGGTATCTACACATGAACTTTGATTTATGATTCCCTCGGTTGATAAATATGAGCCAATATTAGAATTAAAAAACTCCCTTCCATTATCAGTTCTAAGTATTTAAATGAAAGTTTAAAATTAATTTTTAATCATTGTGTTGAAATTCTTAAATATTTGAGGAACATTTGATTTATTTTTCATGAGAAAAATCTATGTGAGTCGTGTGTGATACCTATGAAAGAGATGAACCATCGAGCCCTTGTGACATTTGGAACTTGAGATGGTCCCCAAACGTCACTATGGATCATAGAAAAAGGTTTTGATACTTTGTCCGGCTGAATAGGGTATAAACAGCGAGTGTGTTTTGCAAATTGACAAATTTCAAATGAAAAGAACTAGCACTTTTATTTTTGAATAAACTTGGAAAAAGCTTAGAGAAGTACATAAAGCTTGGGTTTCCTAAGCTGTAATGCCACACCATGATCAACCTCTCACTCTCGGTTTTCCACTCACTAACGAGACAAGCAAGAATTAGTTTTACAAGAAATAGGGTCACTCACTCTTAGATGAGATTGTCTTACGGAATCTGGTTGAACCTCGAGATGATAGAGCCCGAAGCATAACTTCTAGCATCGCCAATCATCATCCTTGAAGTCACATCCCGAAATTCACAAGCATGAGAAAAATTAGTTAGACAGTTAAGATCTTGGGTAGTTTTATTTATGGAGAGTAGGTTGCGGTCTAGATTAGGAACATAAAGGACAAACTTGAGTGTTATATCCCTGGATATTACAATCGAACCAGTCCCTTCAACTTTTGCCAAACAACCATCTACAATTCTAATTATGAGAGCATTATTACGGAGAGAATATGTGTGAAAAACTCACCCATCTCCTATCATGTGATCGGAAGCACTAGAGTCTACAATCCAAGGCTTATAGAGCTCTTGTTTGACAGCCAAAGCTTTGAGAAAATTACCTTTTTGAGCTATTGAACAAGACCCAATAAGCTGGTGGATTTTGTTGTGATTGCGGTAGCCTTCTTAGTCCATCAAGTTCTTTTTTGCTTAGAGTTACAGCTTGCTCTAAATTACTGACCATATTACCTCAGATTTTATTCTCTCGTTGTTGTTTTGAGCTTCCAATTAGTTGGTTTTCCATGGGATGTCCAGTAGGTTTCTTTGGTATGACCAGGGCGGTGGCAGTGTTCACCCCATGGCCTTCTCCCTCTGCTTGGCTGTTGCTGATTTTGGACTGCTAAAGTTGATGACTCACCACTAGCAACTGGTTTTTTTGTCCCTAGCATCAAATGATGTATGCTTTCTTCCCTTCAGACCTCGGAGAAGGCTTCGCGTACATTTGGCAGTGGTTTTGTGCTAAATATGGTGATGATGGGTATGGATTAGTAGTTTGTCATGTCTTCCTCATGGTTGTTGAACACGACGGTTTCAACGTTGGAGGATTTTGGGATTTCAATGGAAGATTCGTTGGTGCTTATCATGTTTGGTCTTAGATGTTGTTGTGGGAATGAGATAAAGGATGGGCTGATTGATGAGCACCGTCGAAATAAGCGAGTGTATAGGGTTGTTGAAAGAAGCAGTAGGTGAAAAACTGACCTAGGACGGCTGTGGGAAGAACATGAGGCGTTTAGGGTTGCTCTGATATCATGTGAATATTTAGGTTTTGAATGACCTAATTTTATTATATCATAAGATATGTTTATATGCACAAAAAGGATCCTAAACATTAGGACTTGTTTCCTACTTTAAAGAGTAAATCTTGCCTAATCTATTTTAAATAGAAAACAAATATACAGCTAATTACACATTGATTTACAGCCTACTTCATAGCTAATTTATAGCAAAGAATCCCAACAGTAACCTTAACAATTTTATTTGTGTAACATCAAGCGGCAATCAATTGTTACTAAATTAAGTGAATAAATGCAGAATTAGAGTAGCATAGTTTGCTTATAAGCTCTATATATGTATACAAGCTATTTAAGGGCTTAGTAACCTACCATTCTTTGGAAGGTTGTGCTTTTGTTCGGGCTGCAACTTACCATGAAGGAACTTAGCGGTCGAGGTTTTCAGTTCAAAAGCAAGGGGTCCACTCTGGTTTCAATTGATGACTCTTGAAAAATTGCTTTACATTTCCTAATTATATGTTCCAAATTGCTTTTGACCTTTTCTGTGCTTTACATTTCCTAAGGTGTTATGAAGTAGAACAGAAATGTGAAGAAAGAGAGCGACATCCCATCAAACAAAGGGAAAAACATGCGTTCTATCCTGTAAGTTGCTTCACCCTAGAAACACTTTTATTCAATCTATACGAAAAGGTCCTTATTTTGAAATCCAGTTTGGGTGCTGAGTAGAAGCCTTTTCCTTCTCTTTAACTATGAAATAACACTGCTAAATTCTGCAGGTTGAAATTGCTGATGTACCTGCTGACACAAAAGATAAAGATGAAATTCTTGAGAGTGAATTTTTTGACACAAGACAGGCATTTTTGAGTCTTTGTCAAGAAAACCATTATCAATTTGACACTTTACGCCGGGCTAAACATTCCTCAATGATGGTCCTTTACCATCTCCATAATCCAACTGCTCTTGCATTTGTGACAACATGCAATATATGTCATCTTGACATCGAAACTGGTCAAGGCTGGCGTTGTGAGGTTTGCCCTTATTATGATGTATGCAATTCTTGTTATCAAAAGGATGGGAGTATGGATCATCCTCATAAGTTGACAAATCATCTGTCCCTGGCTGAGCGCAATGCGCAGAACAAGGAAGCTAGGCAATCGAGGGTTGTGCAGGTACAATACATTTTTTGCGTTCTTAATACTTTTGACAGTTATCTTGAAAATATAATTGCCCTGATTGTGATGTATGAAATTCTTGTTATCAAAAGGATGGGGGTATGGATCATCCGTGTAAGTTGACAAATCATCCGTCCCTGGCTGAGTGCGATGCGCAGAACAAGGAATCTAGGCAATCGAAGGTTGTGCAGGTACAATACATATTTTCTGTTCTTTATGCTTTTGATTGTTATCTTGAAAATATAATTGCCCTGATTGTGATGTATGCAATTCTTGTTATCAATAGGATGGGGTTATGGATCATCCTCATAAGTTGACAAATCATCTGTCCCTGGCTGAGCGCAATGCACAGAACAAGGAAGCCAGGCAATCGAGGGTTGTGCAGGTACAATACATTTTTTCTGTTCTTTATACTTTTGATTCTTATCTAAAATATATAATTGCATGTTCTTAGTAAATCTTGCCACATTCATTTTTTGTTGATTTGTTACATATGACGGCCTGTGAACTGGTTGCTTTACTTAATTATAAGGAACGAGCAATGGAAGATGCTGTGAAGTTTTTGTGCATTGTCACGTACTTATTTATAAGTGATTGTAATTTCTCTACTCTTAATAAATTCTGTAGACTTCCCTTACCCCCATCAAATGGGCTATATTATTCACGAAGTTACTGCTACTCGAGGTTGGTTCACAACGAAAAGGATCTAATTAAGCAAAGAAAGTTTCTGACCTCATCTATGTTATGAGCGTTTTCTTGCGCAAATTGTTCTGTGGAAATATACAAGAAGTTATGGTATCGATAATTCCTCGATGTTTAGGAATGAATGTTTGGATGACTATTGCGAAACTTGACTATTTAACACTCCATTTTACCATCAGGATATGTTTATTTTTCTGGTCAAAATTTCATGTCATATAGGGCGGAATATAATTGTTTATTTGACATTGCAGCGAAAGCAAATGCTTGATCTTCTGGTGCATGCATCACAATGCCGTTCTCCATTTTGCCAATATCCTAATTGTCGCAAGGTGAAAGATCTTTTCCGGCATGGGATACAATGCAAAATTCGTGCATCTGGAGGCTGTGATCAGTGTAAAAAGATGTGGTATCTCCTTCAACTTCATGCTCGTGCATGCGAAGAATCAGAATGCCATGTTCCACGCTGCAGGTTTATGCTTCAATCTTATTTTAAAATCTTCAACGTCGTTGCGGCAACATTATAGCAGAAATTCTCATAAATGTATGCACATATGTTTGTCCAGGGATTTGAAAGAACTTTTGTGGAAACTTCAGCAGCAGTCGGATTCACGACGAAGGGCTGCTGTGATCAAGATGATGAGGCAGAGAGCTGCTGAGATTGCTGGCAATTCTGGTTAAACTTTTTGTGTATATAATATGGTTGTTTTTGGAGAAAAAGGGGACAATAGATACATGCTGCTTTGAGGGTGTCACATTGCTTGAAATAAGGCAGTTACAGAAAATTTCCGACAACAGGTGGTTGGTGCAGAAGAAAAAAATATAGCAATAGTACAACACATGGTTTTATCATCACAGCTGTTGGGGAATGATTCTTCTATTCATGCTAACTGTCGGGGATGACATGACTTTCCTTTCCATGCGAAGAAAAGCAAGTGAAACTCACTACTGGCAAGTTTTCCCAGTTGTTCAGCAGCAGCAGCAGCTAACTGTTTCCCTGAGTCAGAATGTATAGTAAGGAGTGCTGATGTGATGTGTTAGTCAGTCCGCCTGAATTGGGGATTCTTTGATTTTAAAATCTTGTACTTTGTTTAATGCCATTCTTGGTGGCTAGTGTATTATATATACGTTCTAATCTGTTTAAGATGCTTCTTTTCTTACCAAGGAATATGCATTGGGAATGGGAGGAGACCATCTTTTTTTTTAAGTTGAATTCTCCAAATTTGCACCACTTGTTTTATTTACTTGCTTTTTAAAAAAAATAATTTCCGTCCATATGGGTTGGAAGAAATTTCTTTTTGCACATAGGTGTCATGTTATTAGGATGACGACTGAAAAGAAATTTTATTGATTAAAAGTAAAATAATAAAGTTGAAAAAGAAATTAATCAAGGTAGAAAAATGGTAAGAAAACTTTTTCATTTAAAAACATGATAAATGCTGCCAACATATGGAAACATAGTACTGCGAATATTTTTCATATATGGTTTGGCATAAGCATTGAAAGTTTTTTTTTTTTTTTTTTTTTTTCACACATTTGAACTTTTTACAGTTGTATTCTTCTAAATTTTTTTATTAAAACTTTTTTTTAAAAAAAAAAACTTACTTGACCGTAGCATTGTAAAGTAAGAAGCTTGGAAAATGTGATTAATGGCATTATAAAAAATGGTCTAAAACAATAAATCTTGAAAAGTAAAAAGTCTTAATCAAATAAAAAAGAAAATAGAAAGCTTAAGTTAAGAAACTCAAAAAATACATGAACTAAATATGAGAAAAATCTATATCAAAAGAAAAGAATGGAAATGTGAGAATTAAGATGAAGAAGCATATGTGAAAGGAGTTGGAATCGAGTTTTATATGAACAATTTTTCACTTAAATTATATTATTCTTTATTTCATAATTATTTTTTATTTTAAATTGTTATATATATTCAGTTGCATAAGTAAAATTGGTCACTAAAAATTATTTATTATTAAAAGAAACATGTTCAAAATAAGGGCAAGTAACTTACACTTTTCAAGAGAAAACATTTTTACAATACCAATTTGTAATTGTATATGCTAGATTTGTTTATAAAAGTTGATCAAGTAATTTATTTTCTGTGTTAGATTTGTATATGCAAGCTTACAAGGAAATCTAACTGATGATTATCAATTTAAGCTACACTCTCCCTATGCTAAACTTACCTGAGCGAAGGTTGATTTTATACGTTTCATCTTAGCAACTCTACTTCCAGATTTTTTTAAAAAAAAAAAAAAAAAAAACCCTCAACTCCCAATCATCTAAAATTGCCACACTCCTCTTAATTTCATACGCTGCTTGTGACTCTTCATCCTCCACTCTCTCTTCTATTAGTGCTAGTGCCAAATCCAGTCCCAGCACCGATCCATCATCAAGGTATCACAAACCTCAGATATGCTAAAAAAAAAAAAAAAAAACCCCAAGTCATTAACAAACATATAACTAAAATACTATAGTTCTTATTTTTTGCATTATTTTATTCTTTAAAAATTATTAATTCAAATTTTCATTCCTTTATTATTATAATTTTTTTTTTTTTTTGATAATACACATGAGTTTATTGCGTTGTGGAACTCACAAGGCCACATGTGAATCATTCATAGATTGGGTTTAACGATAACATACTACGTCGGATTAAAAATAAACGACGTTATAATATAAGGTTTGAAGTAAAACTAAATGAAGAGTAGAAGATTTTAATTACAAATATTTGAAGAGTAGAAGATCCATATATGAAGAAAATTCATAACAAAATGAAATATTCTTTTTTGTTCATGCACAATTAGATGAATGCAAATTTGTAATAAGTTTTTTTCGGACTAGATTTTGCATCAGTTGATTTTAAATTCACCACTTCGTATAATTTATGTCGGTGATATATCATATCTAATTTTTGATCGATTTTAAAGATTAAACTCTTCAAGTTTAAAAACCTTTCTTTAATGCGACACAAAAGAGAAAGATGATTTTTTCAAAAATGAAAATTAAACTCTTAATTTATTAAGTTAGAAATATTCTTCTTGCCCCTCTACATATAATCTTTAATGGTGTTTACCTTCTTCTTCTTCTTCTTTTCTTCTTCTTCTTTAATGAAATATTCTCCATCTTTTGTCTTAAAATGAGTTTAGCATTGGTGCTTTGGCCTAAAAACATTGTTGTATCATCCAAGATTTTTGTACGGATAATTACATTTCATTTAATTTTATACTAGTTTTTTTTTTAATATTATTTTTTTACTTTCAAATTCATTTTAGTCGGATTTTTATCGAATAAAATTGATATTATCTTTTTGAACTATCTAATTCATTTTAGCTTTTTTTATTAACATCTAACTAATTATATAATGACGCATAATTAATAAACATAAATAAAAATTAGTTCGTTGTAATGTCGTTTTGTATGATGCTTGAATAAATAAATAAATAAAATAAACAATATTAGAAGGAACAGAGTACCAAGGAATTTCATGTGATTTTTATTTGATTGTAAGTCAAAGTTGCCGTCAAACTATCTACAAAGCTGACCTGTATCCACCATGACTGCCACCGTCTTCTTCTTCGTCCTCTGTCCTCCTCCACCAGATGAAACTAAGTATACTCTGTGGCAAAAATCCCTGCAAGAACAAGACGCTGATCACCAGCATTAATTATTTTTGTTGCAGATTTCTTGAAAAGTTTAAGAGCCTTGCTTTTTCTTGAAGCCCTCTCCTAGAACAACCTCACTTGGAGATCGTTGACCTCCATTGAAATCCGCAAGAGCCAAGCTCTACAGCTTCTTCGTTCAACACAACCACTCATCACCACCACCACAAGGTGCTGACGCTCACAATCCCAATCAGCAACCAATCTACAGCTGCGGCTGCCCCCAAATCCAACTACCACCGCCCATAGCCACCCACAACCCCAACCATAAATAGATCTGAAACCACCACCACTCCCAAACCCAACTATCGCCACTTTGTAAAGAGTAAGGCAAAGGCAGAAAAGAACCAAGCAATGGAGCATTCAATGAGTGAGAAATCTTGTCAATTGTGTGCGTTTGGAAAGCTTACGTTTGAACCCCCACCAATTTACTGTACACCCTGTTGTGCTCGCATTAAGCGGAATGCAATGTATTATACCATGGGAGCTGGTGATACACGGCACTGTTTCTGTACTCCATGCTATAATGAGGCTCGTGGGGACACTATTGTTGCTGATAGGACTCCTATTCCAAAGACAAGACTCGAGAAGAAGAAAAATGACGAGGAGACTGAAGAATGGGTGCGTTTATCTGTTGTGTTGTATCTGTTCTTCTGATACATGGCATTCTGAAATAATCGAGCTTACAGTTTACTCTTTGATTCTTGTGCAGTGGGTTCAATGTGACAAGTGTGAAGCTTGGCAACACCAAATTTGTGCATTATTTAACGGTAGGAGGAATGATGGTGGGCAAGCTGAGTATACTTGCCGAAATTGCTACATAACAGAGGTTGAAAGAGGAGAGCGCAAGACCTTACCACAAAGTGCGGCTTTGGGGGCTAAAGATCTGCCTAGAACAATACTCAGTGATCATATCGAGCAGAGGTTGTCTAGGAAACTGAAGCAGGAAAGACAGGAGAGGGCCAGGGTGCAAGGGAAAAGTTTTGATGATGTGAGTTACATATCACGCTGTGGCCTGTGTTGTTTCTTCTAGTAGATTTTTAAAATCCAGAGTTTATTTTAGACGCTAATAATCATAAAAATATGCTTGCAGTGCATGAAAAAAAATAAAAAAAAATGCTTGCAGGGCATGTTATATTGAAAGAGCTTGAACTTGAACTCGTATATGATCATGAAATTGACATGGTTTAGACTTCGTTTCTGATTAAAAAAAAAAAGAGCATGCAAGATTGTTACACCAAGAGTAGTAGAACAAAGAGAATCTCGATTTTGGTGCATGTATTTCATCAAATTTCTATTTGAGTTTTAATTATTTTTTCTATATGCAATCCTATAATGGACATTGATTCCTGCACTATTAAAAAATTACCTATCAAGTTTTGTTCTGAGAATATCCTTTTTCAAGAGTATTTAGACACTGCCACATCAAATGTGTTTTTGGAATAAATTTACTGGATTGATCAAACTTTCAAGAATATAGAAACTCAACATAGAAAAAAGTGAAGTATAAGAATTCTAATAAATTTTTTAACAAAGCTGCTGTCATTATTAAGTTGTAAGTACAATTAGTTGGCAGAATACCATTTAGTTGTTTCAATGGGTGTGCTGTCTCTGATCCTGTTGTAAGTACATTTAGTTGCCAGAAATTCTTGCTTTTCATTTGAAACTTCATCTCCAGATATGTTAGATGTTTGATCCCCACAACAGTACATTTTCGGCAGTTAAATAATTCAACCTTCTGGTAAACTTCTACTTTTGTTTCTTCGAGGACTATGAGTTTGTCCTAGGTGCATGAAAATTAGACCATCAATGCGTGGTAATTGGCGCAATCTAACTTCCTTTACCCATCTGTATCTTAGGTTCCAGGAGCAGAATCACTTGTAGTTCGAGTTGTTTCATCAGTTGACAAAAAGTTGGAAGTGAAGCAGCGTTTTCTTGAGATATTTCGGGAGGAGAATTATCCAACTGAATTCCCATATAAGTCGAAGGTTTGCAGGATACCACATTCAATTTATATGC